CCCAGCCCGCGATGGAGCCATTGGGGGATCGAATTGCGGAGCTGAGCCGCGTTGTCGTCAACTCCTCGACTCGAAGACGTGCTGAGCATGTCACTCGGGTGTAAGTCGAGCAACTCGAACTACACTAAGACCATCCCGTCATCGGTGTCAGTATAGTATTCGAAAGAAGATATAAACGCAACGGATATCCGACTAATCCAGACTACTTTTTCCTTCTCATCACCACACTCATCTCATCTTATCTCTTCTGCATCTTCTTTCTTTTCCTCAACAACCTCACTTGTTCTACCGCAAACCTCCTTCTTTCTTTTTCACCTCGAACTCCTCCCCTTTTTTTTCAACAACTTCACTTCATTCATTCGCCAGGATGCGTTCCAACCTCATTTTCGCCCTTGTTACCGCCATCGCGGCCATCAGCTCAGCGGCGCCGGCGCCCCAGGCTTCTGGTGCGCCCCCGTCCGGCACTGGGCTGGCCCCCCCGCCCCACGGCAGTGGAGCTCCCCCAAGCGGCACTCCTCCCCCGCGCCCCTCCGGCACCGGCCTGCCTCCTAGCGGTGCCCCACCTTCCGGCACTCCCCCGGCCCAGCAGCAGCGCCGCTTCCGTGGCATGATGAACCGTCGCCAGAACTCCGCCCTCCCCTCTGGACCTCCGCCCTCCGGCGCGCCTTCCGGCGCTCCCCCGAGCGGCACTCCCCCTCCTCGCCCTAGCGGCGTCGCTCAGCCCAGCGGTGGCGGCCACGGCGGCTTCGGTGCTCAGGAGGCCGGCGCTAAGCCTACTGGTGCTCCCCCGTCCGGTGCACCTCCCTCCGGCGTCCGCCCGAGCGGTCCTCCCCCCTCTGGAGTTCCTCCCTCCGGTGCTCCCCCCAGCGATGCACCTGCTCCTACCGGCAACGCCAAGCGTGCTGAGCCCTCCGGTGCTAAGCCGTCTGGACCTCCTCCTTCCGGCGTTCGCCCCAGCGGTCCTCCCCCGAGCGGCGCACCCCCCTCCGGCCTTCCTCCTTCGGGACCTCCTCCCAGCGGTGCCCCTGCTCCCACCGCTAACGCTCGCCGCGCCGAATCTGCTCCCGCAGGCCCCAAGCCCACTGGCCCTCCCCCATCTGGAGTGAAGCCATCTGGTCCTCCTCCTTCTGGCGCTCCTCCTTCGGGGGCTCCGCCTTCTGGAGCTCCCCCGTCTGGTGCTCCTGCTCCCACTGGCAACGCTCGCCGTGCTGAGTCTGCTCCCCCGGCTAAGCCCTCTGGCGAGTCTGGACCTCCCCCTTCAGGAGTTCGCCCCAGCGGCCCTCCTCCCTCTGGTGCTCCTCCTTCTGGTGCTCCCCCCAGCGGCGCTCCTAAGCCTACCAACGCCAAGCGTGCTGACGAGTCTGCTCCCGCCGGCCCCAAGCCTACCGGTCCCCCGCCTTCTGGAGTGAAGCCTTCCGGCCCCCCTCCTTCCGGCGCTCCTTCCGGCGCTCCTCCCTCTGGTGCCCCTCCCTCCGGTGCTCCCGCTCCTACCGGCAATGCTCGCCGCGCTGAGGATGCCGCTCCCACCGGCACCAAGCCCACTGGCGCTCCTCCTTCCGGTGCCCCCCCCTCCGGCGCTCCTTCTGGAACTCCTCCCCCTAGACCTTCTGGTGCTCAGGCCGAGGGTGCTGCTCCCTCCGGCACTCCTCCCCCTAAGCCCACTGGCACCCCTACCGGCCCTCCCCCTTCCGGCGCACCCTCCGCTCCCGCTCAGAAGCGTGCCGAGTCCGCTCCTCCCTCCAAGCCTTCCGGCACCCCTCCCTCCGGCGCTCCTCCCTCTGGCACCCCTCCTCCTCGTCCCAGCGGTGCTCAGGCTGAGGGTGCTGCTCCCAGCGGAACCCCCCCTCCCAAGCCTACCGGTACTCCCACCGGCCCTCCTCCTTCCGGAGCTCCTCCCGCTCCTACCCAGAGCGCTTAAATAGCTCTCTCGCTAGATAGTCACGAAGACGACCATCAACGGTAGACTTGAAGCCATTGGTTCAGCCCACACAGCAGCAGCGAATTTGATACCATCTTGAGTCTGGGTTTGTCTTACCAGGAGACATTGGGCCATGGCTACCAATCGTTGAAAGCAGAGACAGAGGAAAAGAAAAGGTGGATGTTGACACGAGACATGGGACAGTTGACGACGATGGCGGTGATCACTTGGCTAGTCATTTTTGCTTTGTAGATATTGGTTGAGATTTTTGTGGGCATTGTATCATAGCATTTCTTTGCGAAAACCTGAGAATAACAGCACTGTTACTCCGAATCGCTCCCACCCTTTGTGATTACGTTACTTGGCAATGTCGACTCAATTGGTGTTGAGTTGCACTGGACTTGTGTGGATACATCTTTAAACTGTTGCCTAATAGTTCCCGATTTTGTCATACACGTGGCTGGTAATCTTGGGTTACGGCGAGAACATGAAGTCTCAGCTCTACTCCATAGTTGAAAAAAGGAAAAGGTAGGAGGGTCGTATTGCCAGCCGTTGTACTAATGCATGCAGTCATCAAGGGGCCCCAGAATATCAAACTCTTCTCGTCTTGCATGATTGGTAGAAAGGTACGAATACATGATTTACAGGGGACCTGGCTGTCAGCTTGCATGCATACGCCAGGGGTAACAACCCAGATCACATAGCATCATTAGATCCTTTGATTCCTTCAGCATCATGGCTGGCGGCTGTCGCAGCCCAGCTGGGAATCTGGCTAGGGTATTTAGAGACACGATAACAAGCCCATGAGTCGATGGGCCAGGCAGCAGGCTAAGCCAAAACTCAAAATACTTTAAGATAGACGCTATCCTCGCAAAATGCGATAGGGAAGAGATTCCTTCGCGTTGTGGGCTTCACATCTTAATGATCCCTTAATGAATAAGCTTCCACGGCCCTAGCTCCCGCAAACGAATGGCCCTGACTCGGACGGTCGCGAAGTTTAATATCGACAATGATTTCTCAAGCCCCCCAGTCGACAGATGGCCCGCAAAAGGATGACTTAACCCGTCAAGGTGAGACAGTGCATCGAATCTCCCGCAAAACCATGCCCAAGGTCGTGGAATCTCAGCTGGATGGTTACAACATCTTACCGGTCAGAGAGGATACCCTTGACAGTGTGGGGGAGTCTCCCACATACTCAACTGTGAGATGGTGGTACTTGGAGATAGGATGTTGCTTTCTCGCCATTGCAAGTCTCGTCGCTCAAGCCATCGTTTTGTGGCAGTACGATGGCAAGTCGCAAGATTCATGGCCAAGCACGACCTTGACCCTCAACGGTCTGATCGCGATTTTGTCTACCGTCTGCCGCGCGACCTTCATGATCGCTGTAGGTGCCATTCTCAGCCAGGCGAAATGGAATCATTTCTCTGGCAAGAAGGATGGTTACCATAGGCTGGATGACTTTACGTTGATCGACGACGCCTCGAGAGGTTCATGGGGTAGCCTGCAGTTGATGTGGAGGTTTAAAGGAGCGTGAGTCTTTGATCTTGATGCCTAGCACCCAAACAATGTTAACATAGACCATAGACACATTACTTGCGTTGGAGCTGTATTGACGATGTTGTCACTCGCTTTGGGCTTCTTTTCTCAGCAATTGATCACCTTGCGGATAGACCAGGTTGAGAGCAACACGCAAGGCCAAGCAGGCACCGTTGCTAGGAGTCAATGGGCGAGCACGGTGTCAGGATACGCAAATTCTTGTAAGTCGCTGTCTGCTAGAGTTCGAGATACAGCCCTTCTGTTCATTCCATGTTCATGACACTTATGTTCTCACAGGGAGTCCCTTGTCACCCACAAAACTTGCCATGTACAACGGATTCATGTCTACAGAAGTCAACTTGCCGCAAGTAACCTGCCCAACTGGAAACTGCACTTGGCCCATCGTTCCGACCGTCGGTGTTTGTGGTTCCTGTGTCGACCTGACATCAGATATCAAGATCAACCGAAGCTCTTCTGCGAATTGCATTGTGACCGCGCCAGATGGTGCGCGCCTTCGTGGATACTGCGGCACAGGATCCGACTTTATGCCCGTATTCAACATCAGCACTGGCTCGAACCGTACCTTCGAATCCACGCATCCTCGAATGATCAAGGCGGACGCGCCCAACTTGATTGCTCAGTTTAGCGGTCTCGGTATTCCTGGCGGGATGCCAGCGACCACCCCTCTCGATGACTCCCGCGCAGCGGAGTGTGCTCTGTGGTATTGCCTTCAAGCGAGGAACATCAGTGTCGAGTCCGGAAAGCTCAAGGACGAGATTGTCGATACCTGGAGTGAGGTGACCGGAGGCTCGACTCCCGATGGGAGAAATGTCACATTCGCGAATATCCCGGCCAACTTCAATACCGAGGCTGGCAAGAGCTACGGAATGGGTCCATTTCAGATGTATGCTATGCAGGCATACGCAAAGACAAACATCATGGGAAACGTCAGCGCCGATGGGACTTTGGGGATTGTCTTCACCTCGGCGTCTCCCTTTGCGGACGGAATGCACGCCAGTTTCGGGGACGTCGGCGGCTGGATGGAGAGACTTACAAGAAGCTTGACCAACGACGTACGCCTTAACAGTAACGACACGACAGGCGAAGATGCTTTCAGAGGTACCGTGATGGCCACCCAAGTTGTTATTGTAGTGCGTTGGGCTTGGATCGTGTACTCTGTCGCCTTGGTCGCTGTATCGGCGATTTATCTCGTGGTTGAAGTTCTGCGAACGAAGAGGAAAGGGCTGCTGCCATGGAAGTCTGATGTACTTTTGCCAGTGTGCATGAACATGGATGATGAGATCAGGGAGAAAGCAGCTGGAGGCATAATTGAGCCTGGCGGTCTGAAGAGACTGGTTGGAGATGTTCCGGTTCAGCTGAAAGCTGACAGAACAGGCGTTATCAGGTTCGCGCAAGAGGTCAAGACCGATGGAACCCATTCGCCTTAAGAAACTGCGCATGAGTGATCTGTAAGGCAGATCTGATCCTGTTCTGAGCTCGGTTTGAGGACACGATTCAGGCATGTCAAGTACTAATTGAGGTATGGAATGCAATGATAATGACTATTCATGATGGAAATATGGGATGGAAGCTCCTACGAAGAGATGATTCTACAACGATCTAGCTAGCCGTACAGAAACCTCATCATGCCTTAGCATCTAGGACGTGCGATTCGTTCGCACTGGCCTTGCTATGCATGATCATCACTGAATCTTTGTCGCAGAACTCGATTACTCTCGTGGCCTTGGAACCGTCCTCGTTGAAGTCAAAGAACCAACTGAACTCCAGTTGGAGATTATCTGAGCCGTCTTTAAACTTGATATCCGAAGATGACGTGAGTGCAGCCTTTCGAGCTTCGGAGTCGACGACGAGGTTTGAAGTGGTGGTGGCCCCGACTACGAAGACGGCGATGTCCTTGGCGAATTGTGTTTCGTAGGCCGCGTTGTCTAGGATGAAATCGCCCGGTATGCCAAATGCTTTCGTCATGGAACGGGGGAGCAGTTGGCGCGTGCAGTCGGGGGTGACCTCGCGGTTGATGATTGAAGCGTCATTGTGCTTTTCGCCGTCTGTGTATGCCTCGAAGAAGGACTTGATCGTCGCCTCGACCTTTTGTCTGAATGCCATATTTGCGGAATTGGTACAGCGATTTGCGTGGATATGGAGGAATAAAAGTAAGCAAGAATTAATGGCGAGGGCATTCAAATGTTATTGATGTGCTGGCATCTTCTTATACGCATCCCTGGCAGGTGTTTCAATGATCTCACAGGATTCAGACTCCTTTCATCTCACGTCAGCCTATTAGTTCCAGAGCCATTGGCAGTCAACATACCCCGCGAGGTGGTGATTAGCGTACTAAATACGCCTCTTTCTACATTGGGCATTGGCCACTCGGCATTCCGTTTGAGGGCTGGACAAGATGCTCCCTCAAGGACTTTTGTCAACCAAAGGCCATACGGCATACCCGGTGGGATCGTTGGTCACCTGTCATCAAATCGCCTGCAATTACTGCCTATGAAGAGTTGATAGCATGTTTCTCAGTGGACGTGTTGTTCAATCCTCAAAGCACAGGGAAAACGCTGGGACTGCTTACTGTCCTTATTAAGCCATCTTTCCACACTAAGTCAAGTGTGACCTGGTGCATCACTTACAGGCATGATTAATAACCATATTCAACAGGATATTTGTCTATACACACGGCACATTGTCGTGGTGAATCTGACCAAATTTACTTCGGTCCAATAGGCTGTCTTCTGCGTCATCTTACTCCATTGGCCGATGATCCGATGCCGTAAATCAAGTTCAATGAGCTCTGCATAAGAAGACAATCCAGTGAATGTGTTTCCTTGTAGTCATTGGCCTAAGTGAACTGTGGTGGCTGTGGTGACGTACAGTACGAGAGCGTTGCCAAGTCCCTACAAACTCCAGAATAAGAGATTATGGCCCGTGGTGTTCAACAATACAGCGAAGGCTTTGATACGGGCCTTCCGTTCTCTGATCATTGGTTAGTGTAGCAGTGCAGTGTTTGCCGGCTTTACTGGTTTCGGGGATCAAACTGAACTAGACACATCATAGATGAGTGCGTAACTTCGGTGCCCGTGAGTCGTCCTGTTCCTGAACAGCAATATAATCAGGGCCATTCAGAGTCCACTCTCGTTGTTGGACCTGAGACTTTGCAGAGTTGACGAAGTGGAATTTTATGCTGCAGACAATGTCACTACCGTACTGGGCTCGTATTCCCAACTCAAGTTCTTATCGCGAACTTTAGAGTTACGTTATGTGGCTTTGTTATGTACATGTGAATGCAGCTACAAAACTTCGACGAAGGACTCAGGTTGCATCATCATGGTGTATCATCATGGCCTGCAAGTGTTAGAAGTGATTGACTTGAAATTGCAGTCCTCAGTGCTTGCAGTGAGATTTGCTACACCTACCTAAACTCTAGTAGTCGGCACGTGGGGTGCAGAATACCTCTCCAATCTACGACCATAGAAACTGGATATTCTACTTGCATTACCCACGGATGATTTAGGCTTATGCCGGTAGTTGAGCACTATGATGAGCGAAGGCAACAGCAATGATACCTATGTCCTGGCCACATACCTCGAATAGGCCGAGCATAGTAGGGTAAGCAAAATTTATGCATAGCTGCTTGCCACGGAGACCGCATAGAGTAAATGACAGTCGGGAATCTGCACCACACAAGGGAGAACGTTGTGTTTTATTTCTGATTTGGCAGAATGATCACTACTGTGATAACTTTCCAGGCAAAGGAGATCTCCGGCTATCCCCATGAGATAGCGTCGGACATCGGCCAAGACCGGTATTCTGTCTCTCGGAAGGGAACCGAAGTTCACTCGTTTCGGCTTCTCTGCCCTTGATCTGCCACATCTATAAAAAGGACACCCCGCGTCTCAAGAAACCAGAGAAGTACAGGTCCAGTGTCCTTGAGAGCGCAAGAATTTTTGTTCGAGCCTCTTCCAGCCTATTGGCTGGTGCGTCTTATCAGCGATGTTCGGAGCTGGAAGCCGATGGTGGGTCCTGGCTACAAGCGGATCGGATGGCTGCCGAAAGGCGAATGTTGTGATTAAGACTGTCTTGCCGCCTCTGTGCCATGTTACGCCGCGGATCTTTCTTTCTGACAAGCCAACTGCTCCAAATACTTCATTCAGTCTACAGTTACTTTGGGACACTGTACAAATAATACAGCATTTTGTTGAACATTCTTGGCAAGATTATCGCATCATCCTCCAGATCGCAATCGTATACTCCTTTGCTGCATCAAGTGGCATACATACATGACTTGCAGTAACCGGGCAATCACACCGCATAGTAAAATGTCGAGTAGCAGCTACCGGGGCTCGTTATCGCCGACCCCAGACCCCTCATCCAAGGCAAGTTCGGCTCTTATCAGCCCCACACTCTCAATTGCCGCAGCGACCTCCGTCACATGAAGACTTTGCAAACTTACCGGTGAACGGAACGGGCAGCAGTCTCACAAGGCCAAGGTGTCAGAAGCCTCTTCTTCGAGCCGGAAGAGGAAAAGACGCATCAAAGACGAGGTCGAGGAAGAAGGCGCGATGCCTCAGCAAGCTGCCGCCAAAGCACGGTCCGCGAACGCGTCAGTCACCACCACCCTCAATTCGCCCGCCCTTCACTCACTCACCCCACCAAACTCCACTGCTGTGACGTGTTTGCCATGCTGACTGCCGCATCAGATGCAACACATGCCGGAGGCGCAAGGTCAAGTGTTCGGGAGAGCAGCCTTGCAGGAATTGTGCACGAAACAATCTAGACTGTGAATTCGGTGATGGGAGAAAGAGATATTCAGAGGCGTGAGTCTACTCCGAGGTCGGACTTCTCCAACTTGCTAAGTCGGTGAACAGATACGTCTCAGAATTGAGAGCCACGTTGACCCGATATGAGGACCAGATAAAGGGTGAGTTATCACGGCCGATCACTTGCAGACAACTGCAGGCAATTGCTTGCGTTGGGAACATTACGGACTAACATCAAGCAGAACTCGCCAAACAACCACGAGCACAACCTTCGCCACCCGCAAGGGGGGTCTCAACAGGGGTATCAAACCCAAGTCCACCAGGCATTGCGCCATTTGAGCCTACCGGTGAAGTACCGCCTCCAAGCTATGGTGCGTATATCTCAGCCTGCAATTGGGTTCTAGACAACAACTAAAGCGGAAGACACAGCATCCATAGAACGTGCCCCTGGCCCGCTCTTCGAGCAACGGTTGCGGAGTCTCTTCCACGAGAACAATGGCAAAGACCCAGACTCTCCGGAGAAGGATGCTCCGGAACACCTGGAGAACGAGGATCCACGCGATCTGCCGTTTACCCCTGAATGGACTTCAACAAATGAGTTGATCAAGGGCATTCCTCATCAAGCTTTCCCCAAAGAGGCTGAGTCTAATCGACTCCTGAACCTCTTCAACTCTTACATGGGAGTCACACAACACTTCCTAGATCAGCGGACATTCACAGACAACATGACACTACTTTTCAACAGCCAAGCATCTCGAGCTCGACAGATGGACACCCCATGGTTCACACTGTACCTTCTAGTCATGGCCATGGGCAAGTTGATGGAGGAGGATCCGCGTGAAGTTCGAGGACCCCCGGGAGCGTTCTGGTTTGCTGAAGCCATGAGGAGGCTACCGCCACTTCACAGCATCAGGGAGTACGGCATTGTTGGGCTTGAGATCCTGTGTCTGGCGACAACATATCTGCAGTGGAACGACCGGAAGAATGATGCATACTTTTTCGTAAGTCCAGGCTCTTTCATGCTAGTCTAGATGGAAGGCTAACAAGCCGCAGGTGGGAACAACAGTACGGCTTGCCCTGACTCTGGGATGCAACTTGCCATTTTCAGAGCAGAAATGCCTGCCGTCAGAGAGAGCACACAGAATGCGAGTGTGGTGGACTGTCTACATGCTGGATCAGTAAGTCAACCTCTGTTACCCATCAGGATTTCTAAGCTAATCATCTATGCCCAAATAGGCGTATATCGGCAGGCCTCGGGCGTCCAGCTTCCGTTGATGATAGGCACCTTTCGTTCGATCTTCCTGGTCCCTCTCCAGGGTTCGACTCTCCAGAGCCTCTCAATGTCAACGTCAAGATTGCCCGGACAACTGGAGAGATCATGTCCTGTAAGTGGACTTTACGCCATGTCTACTTTGATAGCCACTTGTGTGATCGGCAGCTGACCAACGTGGGCAATAGCATTATACAGTCGAGGCGCACTATCGCAAGCCGATCTTGTCAGGAAGATGAGAAACTTGCTTCAATCACTACACGACATTGGCGGATCTATCCCGGCAGATCTTGCCATAGACTTCAGCAACAAGCAGTTTGAGGTCACTAGAGCTGGGGCATCACTGTATCTGAGGTTATTCCAGGTAAGCACCAACTGCCGGGTCTTGCTGGGCAACTCTTTGGGCTTTGTCGAGATGAATGGGCACTAATACGACTCAAATTAGTCCATTATTCTCTGCATCAGGCCAATTCTGCTCCAAAAGGTCAAAGACAAGGTTCAAAAAACACAGAAGCAAGCCGTGACCTCGGCAATTTCCCAGCTGTGCCTTCTTTGCAACGAGTCAGCTTTGAGAATTATCCGCATCCTCATGGCTATGCAAAGGCAAGAAGAAATTGGTAAGGGCTTATTTTCTCCACCGGTGACAAATCCGAAGAATGAATCACTAACATGGTAAAGCGCCCTTCGCATTCTTCGATCTGGATGCTGCCTTCTCTGCCGCCTTCGTCCTAATCATGCGCGGCTTCGCACACAAGCAGGACAGCCAGAAGCCGCCACCGCAGGAACTCTTCCAGGCTATCGATTTCCTGGAATACCTGTCTTCTGCCGGAAATCAGGCGGCAGCGCAACGCCTCAAGGATGTTCGGCAGTTCTCTGCACACGTGTGGGCCAATGTGGTAGCGTTCGATAAGGACCATGACGTGCAGATGGGAGAATCCGGGGCGTCCCATGGGGTACCCCAAGTGGGGAACACACCCGGGTCCGGACTACCGGAGCAGTCGGGACCTTCACCGGCCCAGATGCCCTTGACTACGCCGACACCCAGCTCCTCGGTGCCATCCTGGGAGGGAGAAATGTTTGGAGGACCTGCAGATACTTACGGATCAGACACGCTGTTCGGTCTGAACTTGGATGAGAATTTGGAACAAGCCTTTGGGCTAGAGGCGGCAGAGGGTATCTACAATAGTTTCAACGACCCTACTCTCCCCTTAACGGGAGTTGACCAGCTGGATTGGGCTGAGCTGGAGAAAATGATGGCACCAGGAGGGTACGGTTCATAGTCACTACAAATAATGTCAAATGGAATCGAAACATCATCAATCAACGCAAATACCTCGGGAATTCTCGCTCGTCAGTGACGTATGAATTGCCTCTGCATTGACAGTGTCCGAAGTGTAACTTTCTCCATTCGACCGTGGTGGACGATCTGGGCGAGTGGGGCCAATCGGATGACGGCCGCCTCCGGTTCGGGTACCGAGCCGAGAATCTTCGCCAAATTCCGCAATGATTCAGAACACCATCGGAATAGAGCCGAGCTTCCAATGATGCGCTATTAACCGTGAGAAGAGTACTTAATATCTGGCGATAGCCTCTTCGATACCATGAGTGATTGTAGAGCCGTATTGTTAGTTGAGCATCGAACGCTGAATAGAACTGTGTTCAAATATCCACATAGAAATTCCGCAATGGTTCAATCAACACTAGACAGCGTCGCCATCCTTGGCGCCGGCAATGAAGCCTCTCGCCGGATTCTCACCAAAGAGGCCGTCAATTTTCTCGCAATTCTGCACCGCAGTTTCGAGCCGACTCGTCAACATCTTCTCAAGCTCCGCCAACAACGACAAATCGACACAGACAACGGACATTTGCCAGATTTCCTCCCTGAGACTAAGCACGTTCGCGATGACAAGAACTGGAGGGGCGCTCAGCCAGCGCCTGGTTTGGTAGATCGACGAGTTGAAATCACCGGACCCACGGATAGGAAAATGGTCGTCAACGCGCTCAACTCTGATGTTTGGGCCTACATGGCCGATTTTGAAGGTGAGATGAGAAGCCCCTGAAATCGTCAGTTGTAAATCGACTTACACCGAGTATCTAGACTCAAATGGTCCTACATGGGACAACATGATTCAAGGCCAGGCCAATCTCTACGACGCCATCCGCCGGCAGGTCGACTTCAAGCTCGGCGAAAAGGAGTACAAGCTCAGAACTGATCGCACTCTCCCGACATTAATCGCACGCACGCGCGGATGGCACTTGGACGAGAAGCATTTCACCGTCGACGGACAGCCCATGTCCGGCGCCCTCTTTGATTTCGGACTGTACTTTTTCCACAACGCCAAGGAGTTGATTTCCCGCGGCGCTGGCCCCTATTTCTACTTGCCCAAAATGGAGTCGCATCTCGAGGCGAGGTTATGGAATGACGTGTTCAACATGTCGCAAGATTACATTGGTATCTCGCGAGGTACCATCCGCGCTACCGTGTTGATCGAGACCATTAGCGCTGTTTTCGAAATGGACGAGGTTTGTATCGCTCGCTAGTATAAGCGCAATGTCCCTCACTAACACGCTTCAAAGATCATCTACGAGCTCAGAGATCACAGCTCGGGCCTCAACTGCGGTAGATGGGACTACATCTTCACCTTTGTCAAGCGCTTCCGCAACCGCCCCGGCTTCGTCCTCCCCGACCGCTCCGACGTCAGCATGACCGTCCCTTTCATGGACGCCTACGTCAAGCTCCTCATCAGCACATGCCACGCCCGCGGCGTCCACGCAATGGGCGGCATGGCGGCTCTCATCCCGCGCAAGGACGACCCGGCCGCGAACGCCAAGGCGATGGACAGCGTGCGCGCCGACAAGCTGCGCGAGGTCAAGGCCGGACACGACGGTACGTGGGTTGCGCACCCGGCGCTGGCGTCGATTGCGTCGGAGATTTTCAACGAGCATATGCCTACCGCGAACCAGATCTTCAAGAGGCCCGAGGCGAAGGTTACGCGCGACGATTTGATCAACTCTGTTGTTCCTGGAAAAATTACCGACGAGGGCGTGAGGAAGAATTTGCATATTACTCTGGCGTACATGGAGGGTTGGCTTCGCGGTGTGGGCTGCAGTGCCATCAACTATCTCATGGTACATTTGCACTGGTGCTTCCGGCTCCTGTTGGGACATAACTAACCAGACTTACAGGAGGATGCCGCAACTGCCGAGGTGTCGCGCTCACAACTGTGGTACTGGGTGCACCACGGCATCAGCACCGCCGAAGGCACAAAACTCGATAAGACAACAATGCTCAACGTCCTCGACGAGGTTACAAAGGAACTGCTCAAGTCTGCGCCGGCGAACAACAAGTTCGAGCTGGCGGCGAAGTATCTGCGGCCGCAAGTTACGGGCGAGGACTACGCCGACTTCCTTACAACGTGAGTCACGCCTGTTTTTGTATGAATGCCGTGCAACGCTAACAGCTTCACTTCTAGACTACTTTATGATGAGATTACTTCCGTTGGGCCGTCATGGAAACTCTAGATCTTTAGCCAGCGATACTTTTTGTAAGATTAATGAACCCGGTTGAATGGCGTTGCTCCCTACAATGTATGTTGCGAATGGCTAGCATATGAGTTTCGGAGCACTTATGAGCAAAATCAAAGGCTGCTACAGCCTCTTCTCGCAAATTCAAGTCAAGAGGATTGCTGCAAACGGCAAAAATCGACTTGGGCCTGATTCGAACAGACGCTCCCGAAGGAACAAGATTTCTAGTCTTGCGCATTAGACCACTCTGCCACCAAGCCGTGATCCCAAATCCTCTGACGCGGGTTGGTTGGAGATGGAGCTCAGATTTCCGCCCTTGTATCCTGGTCGGCACCGACTGGAGAAACGAAGAGGCCCTCCGAATGGTGCGTTGCTTGCCACAACCGCGCACCCTGAGTTTCCCTAATGTGGTTTATCGTCATCTCGAACAAATGGCCGTGAACCTTATACACGTTCTAATCAGCCTTTCTTCTTCGTCCAAAGTAGCTGGATTGGGCCGTCTGAAGTTTGGAATGGCTTCTAGTCAGTACCTAAGTCGAGGAACACTTCGGAAAGCCCCTGTCAAATCATCACGTGGTGAACCTGTTCACTTCGCATAAATGTGGAGACGTCAACCCCTACCGGTAGAGCTCTCAAAAACCGCGTTGGTCTTAATTCGTGACACTTACTTACCGACTCCCAGTCTCATGCAACATTCCACTGGGCTCTTTGTGAGCCCCTAAATAATATCAACATGGCCTCCTCTTCATCCCAGTCTTACAGAAAGTTTCAGAAGCTGGAAAGAACCGTCGCTAAAGCGCGTCAGCTAGGCTTCGACTACGATTGGGACAGTGGCCTCCTGATGTTTGGGGACTATTGGTGCATGGAAGTCGAGCGCCTCCGCGAAATCTTGTCTCCTGACCATCCTAGTTATGATGATATATAGGATAAGAGAGATTTTAAAGCTGATCAGCCGCGCCTTCGGGATAAGGAGTGGTTTCTCGCGCAGTCGCAGTACTATGGCCTTCGACTAGGCGATGTGAAGATGAAGACTCTGCGCGATCTGCGTCGTGATTTGGCCGAGTTAGTAAAAATGGGTGCGGTGCGTCGTTCAAATCCTTCGGCAACCGAGTATAGATATCTGATCTGAACACCTCATTCTTAGTGCAACACTCTCAGTAAACCTGTGGCCACTCTCTACGATGCTTTCATAGAGATGGAGGACATTCGGAAAAGCCATGTTGAGATCTTCGATGAATTCAAAACCATGGAGGACAAAATCGCATTCGATTCTGAACTATTCGCACAGCGCTACTTCGCACCAAGCGGAATACCCGATCCAGCCATTACTCCCGCGCCAATGTCACTTCGCAACCTTACTAGCGATACTAGGTATCTACTGGACCGCCTCGAAGCGATCGACGGTCTTGTATGCAGAGTGATTGATGTAAACGATACCACTTACTGGGCCATTCTTGGTGGGACCACCAAGCTGTCGACGACGCAGTGCGTTCAGCCAGGGAGTTATTGAAAGAGGAATCCGATAAAGCGATAGCCGACGGCGCTTTCGACGTACTCGCGAGCGAGATGCAGAAGCATCACAAATATGTCTTCAGAAACCTCACGCCACCAGAAATCGACTACCGCATTGATGGAAAGGAATTTTTAGTCAAACCGGAAGCGACTCAGATGCGGCTCGAGGATGCCCTTGGCAACTTCCTCGTGCAGGGCATCATGATAGAAAAGGAGTATGCATCTGTGGACCCGACGGTTTTTGAACTCAACATCAGACCGTTCTCGTCTCCAGTTGAGGATAATGGCCTGTTGGTTGGGGATATGAGGTTCGGCGAGTTCGAAGGGACCACAATCCTCTCTTTCTCCTACGATCGGATGGCGATTGTCCAGTCAAGGCATGTGACGCAGTCAGTGGGGTTTGAAATGGTAGACGGTCTCGATACTATGTGGAAGAGCTTGTCTTTGTTCAAGAATTTTTCCAAAGGCGACACGGACGAGGTAATTCGGGAGGCGGTCAAGGCTGTGAAAAGACCAGATGACTTTGGGGAGCCACGGCAGAACTGGCAACTGCCAAAACTGCGCAAACCAAATCCGTGGTTTCCACACAGTGGCGCTCGGCGGCTTTACTTCTGCGCGGAGGGCTGGAATGACGCTAAGGACAGCGTCATGGAGTTCAAGAAAGGAGTCATCGACTTCAACCAGTCTTGCACCCGGTTTAAAGGCGTCATCACAATGTTTGAAAACAATGAACTATTCAAATTGAAGGGCTTCAAGGTAGAAGACTACTCGCCAACGCAGTGGAATGACGTTGAGGGGGGATTCGAGGATGACGAGGACATGGATTCGTGGACGACTGAACAGTCGTCGTCTATATCGGGAGACTCGCCTGCGTCGGGAGACTCGCCTGCGTCGGGAGACTCGCCTGCGTCGGGAGACTCATCTTCAGAGTCTAGGGAGTCATCTTCAAACATCGACATGACCTAAGGGGCTTGCAGGTTTCAAGTACCAATGAGGAGAGCTGGATTATGAACCATTTTGCTTTGCTGAATGCATTCCATGAATATCGGAACTTCCCTCTCGCCTAATTTTTCTTGGCATCTGCTGTTAGTGAATGAGTGAGCCTACCACCAAATTACTAACAGCCGAAAACTCTTCACCTCCCCTTGCCGGAGCCCGCATCCGCGATGGCCTCACAGCCGCCGTCGGGCACCGGACTGATGTCGGCCGACCAAGCCGACCCCGAACCAGGCTCCGGGACACCTCCGGAGCCGAACCCCACCTCAAGAGCTAAGCGACGCCGCGACGCCGAGGCACAGCCGACCCGGCCCAGCCTAACGGGAAGCCAGCTTGATGCCACCACCGACGCCCCTACCTCGGCCGAGGGGCCCGCAGCCTCTACCGCATCTGCTCCGAGCGGATCTGCCACAGGGTCCGTCTTGACAGCCCTTGCAGAAGAAGCTAGACAGTACGAGGCACGGAAAGACGTCTTTCTGACCATTGCACGGTCCGTCGACAGCGTTGTCGCCAGCTTTGACGGTTCTAGAAAGCAGATCGCGAAAGAAGCCACTGCCTATGTCATTCAAACCCTCAAGAGACTGATCAATCACGAGACAAGCCCAATAGCGGCCCGGAGTTGGGCGGCTGTCGTCGCACCGATGGCGGGCAACACCACTGCGGCGACCCGGAGCGGCCAGAGCTGCCAGAGCTCTGCCCGCCCGAAGGCCACACTCCCCGCCGAGGATCAGCCGCAGGCGCAGCCGAAGGAGGACCTCCGCATCTTTGCCCGCGTCCCGGAAGAAAGCTTAGCGGCCGCTCGGAAGATCGCACCGTTCGCCGTACGACAGATCGTCTGTAAGGCCGTTGGCCTGGGGCTAGCGGACCTTCCCCACGTCTACCATATCAGCACAGGTTACTCTCTGAAGCCGCGAAACAAGCAAATACAGGAAAGACTACTTACAAGTAAGGCAAAGCTGGCGGAATGCCTCGGCGCCCACCAAGTCGAGACGCCTATCAAGTGGCACACATACGTTGTGCCGCGATGCCCAACAAAACTACACAGCATTGGCGGGGACGTCCTGGACCCAGCCACACTCGTTGAAGATGAGGTCTTCGCACAGACAGGACAGAAGCCTGTCCTTGCTCGACCGTCCCGCCTTGGGCCCAACCCAGTCACGAACGAAATATCTTGGCTCATATCATTCACATCAGAGGTCACGCCCTTCAGGCTCTTCAACCAAAGCGGCAGATCTCTGCCCATCAAAAAACGAAGGACGCTCATCCGACATGACCCCGGCTGCCAGGGCTACCACGCCAACCGGTTCTGCGGACGACGACCGACTTGCAGCAACTGCGGAAGACCTTCCGACTCACACGAAACGGGACCTTGCATGGCCAGGCCCCAGTGTCCCAACTGCTGCGGCCCCTTCCAAGCCGGCCACACAGACTGCCCAGCGAGGCCCTCGGTCGTAAACGGCGTCGTCTCCCTTCCCGGTCGAAAGGAGCGGGCTCGGATCCGGAAGGCCGGCCAGAAAGCATCGGACACTCTGTACAAGGCTACTCGATCCGACAGTAGCCAGGAGGCGGCAGGCGTCCCTACCTCCACCAGCCAGAACCAGCAACCCGGCGCCAAGCGCGCGCGCACGAGAACGCCCTCCGCAAGCTCGATCGTTTGCCTCGGTGACGGAAGCACTGACAGCAGCAGCATGGATGAAGACGAGGCGGACGAAGGCGAAGGCGAAGACTCCCCCGACAACACCTCCATCGACCGTCCCGTGCTACCCATGCCAAGCAGGAGCCAACGGGCAGCACAGAAGCCAAACTACAACGTCGCGAATGCCTACACCCACCTCGAACTCGACTCGGAGACGTAAGCCGAGAGCGGCGACCCCACGGATGCTACGCGTTGCGCAGGGCAACGTCGGAAAGATCTCCCCGGCGCACACGGCTTTCCTGCAGCTCTGCTGGGAGGCTCAGATAGATGTGGTCCTCGTCCAGGAACCCTGGACGGGCTGGAAGGACGGAAACGTGCAACTGAACACGCACCCGGGTTTCGACTCTTTCGTCCCGGTCGACTTCTGGGACAGCGAAGGAACCAGACCAAGAGTATTGACCTACACACGCAAAGGGATAGGGATGACGGTGGAGCAGCAGAGGCCTGTCCACACGAGAGACGTACTGTGGCTGGTGGTCGACAAAACGACGACTATCGTCAACGTGTACAGACAACCCCGCGACCCCCACAGCCGCACAACAGGGATACTGCTAGAACTCAAACCCCCGGAGCGAGCTTTGATCGCGGGTGACTTCAACGCGCATCACTACTCTTGGGAGCCCGGGACGAGGAACGGGAACCGGGGAGATGACATTGCAGGCTGGGCAGACGGCCACAATCTCTCTCTTATCAGCGAAGTTGGGGTGGCAACCCAGGATTGCGGACATGTCCTGGACCTGGCTTTCTCTAATATCCCTTTTGCGCACGCGCAGGTCAGCCCACAGCTACACCCGGGAGCTGACCACGAGGCCATCGTGGCCGTCATACCACTATTCAAACGCCCAGTGTCACAGGGAGAGGGCCACCCGCAGCCACGGCCACTGTCAGTGCCCGACTCGGCGCTGCCTCGGCTGAGAGACCTGATCGAAGGGGGGCTAGCTGCGATGCCCAATCTGGGGGATCAACCTACTCCGGAAGACCTGGACGGGCAGGCAAGTCACATCGTCGAGCTCTTCTCCCGAGCCATTGAGGCGGTCGGCAAGAAGAGAGGAAAACATGGTAAAGGCGCGGCTTGGTGGACGGAGGAATGCGCAGAGGCCCACAGAGCATACCGTGCTGCCCGCAACCAACAAGCCTGGGAGACGGAGCAAGATGCGCACCTTTATCTAATGGAGAAACGAAAGGCGTTCCTGAGCACGGTGAGGAAGGCTAAGCGAGCATACTGGGCCGGAAAGATCGATGGAGTCGCTTCAGACCGGGACCTGTACCAGATCATGGGTTGGCGGAAGGCGAGCCCACTGACCAGAGCACCCCCATTGGTTGTGGACAACCAGACGATCGAGGATACTGACGAAAAGGCCCAAGCGCTTCGGGAAGCCCTTCTCGACAGGTTTAGTGCGGAAGATGACGCACCGGGTAATCCGTTTGACGTACCCGTCGTCCCAAGGCGAGCGATTACTTGGCAGGACAATGTTAGCGGAGAAGAAGTGAAGACGGCCACCTTAACAAAGACAACGACCCCTGGTGTGGACGGGATCACCACGCGCCTCCTCCAGGCCTGCTGGGGCGTCATCTCGGAGCCGGTCAGGCAGCTATTCCAGTCCTGTATGCGGGCCGGCCACTTTCCTCTGCCTTTCCGCAGAGCTGAGGTGGTCATGATCCAGAAGGCCGGCAGGGATGCCTCCAAGCCCGGGTCCTGGCGGCCGATCGCGCTCCTCTCGTGCTTGGGCAAAGGACTCGAGAGACTAATAGCCAGAAGGATGGCTTCTCTGGCGATTGTCGAGCGCATCGTCAGTCCGCAACAGATCGGAGCTCTACAAGGCAGGTCAGCCGTCGATCTGACGACCTGCCTCGCCCACGATATCGAAACGGCCCTCCTAAAAGGGCTCACGGCGACGCTTCTGACTATGGACGTAAAAGGGGCGTTCGACTCCGTCCTTCGGAACCGGCTCGTCATTAGACTGCGTCAGCAGGGATGGCCACACGGCTTGATTAGACTCATCTTCAGCTTCTGCTGCAACCGCATCGCCAGAGTCCGACTGGAAGAAAGCACGACGGAATACTTTCCTCTGTCATGCGGGCTGCCTCAGGGGTCGCCACTATCTCCCATCGTCTTTCTGCTCTACATCGCGGAGATCCTTGAAGACGACCCGGACGCGCGATTCGGGTACGCGGACGACATCGCCACTCTGGCCATCAGCCCCTCCCTGGAGAGCAACGTCGCAATACTCAACCGAAGCGCAGCCGGCATTCTCAGATGGGGCTCGGAGAACAAGGTCTCCTTCGACCCGAGCAAGTGCGAGGTCATCCACTTTACTAGGAAGCACAGCCAGCCAGCGGAGCTGCCAGAGGTCAGGGCGGGGGATTTGGTGGTCAAGGCCTCGACAAATCCTGTACGCTGGCTGGGTGTCTGGTTCGACAAGAGACTGTCCTTCCGGCACCACGTCGACACAAGAGTAGCTGCGGCAAAGAAGGCAGCTCAACACCTGAGGCAGCTTACAAACACAAAGAGAGGACTGCCAGCGGCCGCCGTGCGAAAAGCCGTCGTCTCCTACGTACTGCCGATCGCGCTCTTCGGCGCCGAAACATGGTACGCAGGTATCACGAAGCCGGCTTCGAGACGCCAAGCGGAGACAGACACGAGTCCGCCTTTCCAAGGAAGACCCGTCAACACAGGCCAGAAGGGGCTCGTGCAGAAGATCGACAGCGTCATTACAGCGGCAGCAAGGATCGTTCTACCTGTCTGGAGGACAACGCCAACCAGTAGCCTCCTCCGAGACGCCGGCTTACCGTCAGCCAAAGTCGCCTTAGAAGGCGTCCGTTTACGGGCCGCAGTCCGACTACAGAGGATTGATCGCCGACACCCGCTAGTCGCGCGGCTCTCCCAGCAGGGACAGCAACAGACGAGACTACAACGGACGGCTGAACTTCTGCCAAGATGCGGAAGACCAACGTTCCTCCAATCACAGTACCTGCCAAGCTCACAGGATCAGATAGTAGTTCAATGCAAAGAAGAGGCTGCGAAAGCTTTCGAGCGCTGGCTAAAGACAGTACCGGAAAGCCATATGATCGTCTTCTCGGACGGCTCCAGGGCGACGAACGGAGCCGTGGGGTACGGCTTCGTCATCTACCGAGACTCCAAACGCATAGCGCAAGGGTGCGGCCGACTCGGACTAGCAGAAGTGTTCGACGCCGAGGTCGAAGGGGCGCGAACCGGCCTCAGAAGGGCTCTGCTCACCAATCGCGGTCATCCAATCCACATATGTATCGACAACACCAGCGTTATACAAGGCATCCGCGGCAAGGCGCCGGACTCGTCACAAGACGCGTTCCTCGAAATCCAAGAAGCGGCCAGGATATTTGATATACGGACGCACTGGTCCCCGGGACACCAGGGCATCGAAGGAAACGAGGCCGCGGACCGGCTGGCCAAAGAAGGAACGACACTGCCGGCGCGGATGGGTCAAATGGCAACACTAGCGGGCATCAAGCGGCTTGCAAGGGAAAAATTACAAAGCCAGCACAGGAGATGGTGGTATAAAGAGCGAAGGCCGCGGTACGCGGACTTGGGGCTTGAGGCAGCTCTGTCCAGCCCTCCTGAACTGGCCTTGCCGCGGGCTACGTTACATCACCTGCTGGCGGCACGATCGGGTCACGGGGACTTCGAGCAATATCACCGACGTTTCAACCACGACGACGCTCTAATGATGTGCTCTTGTGGAGAGGCGAAAGACGTGGACCACCTGGTCTACTGTCGACTAACGCTGGCGAGGAGGCAACGGTGGCCGACCCTCCACTCTCGCAGTATGCCCGAGCCCATAGGTCCTATGGGATCTCTCGAGGCCTACTTCAAGAGATTAATCACCGACCCACGAGGCTTCGAGGCCTTTCTCCGCGTGACGGACTTCTTCCAGAAGATCTGTCTGCGGTAGCAGCATCCACACCTAGGTAGATGTGAGTGCGGACTACAAAGAACCTCCCGATTCCAAGGGACGATTTGGGAAAGAATGAAACTGGGGCACCAGCGGGAACCGGGGACAGACAGAACGCGTAGTGGCCACAAGGCATGATTTGGAGGACGATGTAAAGAGACGACGTACTGTAGAGTAGGTAGCCTTGGCTCACGGCCCTCCACGCCATATACCCTTCGGGAGGTCTGCGGTAAGGGCTCTAGCCCGGCCGCCACGGCGTTAAATACAACAACAACAACAACATCCATGAATATCGATGAATAATACCCAATTCTGTAACCTCCGTCAAGACGGGGTCATGGCCTGTAATTGCATTGATGAGGCTTTAAACATGGTCCCCTTCGAATCTGAGTGTCGATTTGTCTGGCTCTTGTGTGCAACCTCACGCTAAGGAGTGCTTATCTCTGCCCAACATGATGCAATCAATGTACTACTCAGGTGCCAATCTTAAACACCTAAGAAGAAGGATACGAAGCCTTATGCCATGATATTTCAAGTGGACTCTGCTCATTTACGCAACAGGTCAGACTGATCGAAACTTACGGGATACAGATTTTGCGTGCCGCTGGGTGATGTCAACAGCCCTTCCAGGTCATCCATTTCCTTGTCAACAAATTTGTCATTCCGCCGATTCTTGACTTCGTGAGTACATGTAGATTGAACACAACCCTGATGTCTTATTCAATCGAAAAGCCACACAATGAAAATTTCGAAAACGATGGAGCCTGGCTGGTGAAACCTTCCGGTTCAAGGGCGAGAAGGGTAGCGAGAATACCGAAGCCCCTTTCGGCTGGTAGGGAAAAATAGAAACCAGCCTTTCAACTTCTTTACAACTTACCTCCAAAACGACCTCGTTGACTGCAACTAGCAATCAACGCCGTTGCTACCCTACGATATATCCAGCCGTGCTGCGTTCCTGCAATGCTGCATTCGTACACGATTTTCAACTAAGCTGCTGCCACTCCGCCGCTCCCGTTCAGCAAAATGCGCAACGAAGACTTAAAGAAACCGGCAAAATACGTCCTTCCCTACCGGAAAGGCGATGAGAATCAAGACACATACGAGCTCATGCCGCTTCCAGGTCCAGCTCCAGATCCAAATCTTCACAGGTTTGCGGAGATTCCCATAAAGATCAAGTCCAAACGCGTCAGGCTCGTTAGAAGACTTCAAAAGAAACCACGATTATATAAACTTGTGCCCATTCAAGATTCGACTTTCCACCAATTCGCGAAATTACCCGACAAGATCAAGTCCAGAGTTTGGCGCGAATTCTACCTAGAACCTAGATACTACATCGCAGAACTTCATCCAAAAGATCATAAGATAGAAGGCAAGGACTACAACTGGGACCTGGAATCTTGCGATGAGGAATTGTCCGGCGAAGAGCCTTGCGTAGAGCACATGGCCGAAGAGGACGCTTCCAAGGAGATGACCCCGGAGGATAATTCTTCAAAGAACAGCACTCCGCAGTCCGACGCCCTGCATACCAATGCTCTCAAGCAGCAACCATATGACGAGTATCTATCCGATGAGTATAGTTCCGAAGAAGAATCTTCAGAGGATGAAGTTGCTGAGAATGGAGATGCTGAGGATGGAACTGCAGAGAATGGGACGGTTGAGAATGGGGCTATCAGGGATAGAGCCATCGATGATCCATTCGACGAGCTAGAATTCGGCCAAGTAGAAGATGAGTTAGACAACGTTGAGGGCCGCGATTCCACTGATTCGCTCGTCCGGCCATCAAGCAACGCCTCAAACCCATTCGACAAAGAAAACGAGGAAACGGACAAACAGACACACCGTACGGTGTTTTGGACTCTGTCCAGACAGGATGCAGAGTACTCGGATGGCTACTACGACTCCGTCGACACAAAGATCGATTCTTTGTCGAGATCCGTTGCTCAAAGCGTCAGGTCGCCATTCTGGTTTCCGACTTTCGTCAAGGACGAGCTCGAGCAGGGCGAGGAAGGTCCCTGGATGGCGATCCCTCCACCAAAAGATCCGGCATCGAAAATGGGAAAGAGTGTCACCATCAACTGGGACATTGATTTTGTCCACTTAAAGGTGCGCTTCCGCAAATGTGTCACAGAAAGCATCGGCTGGATGCAAAATATCCAAAACCTCGTCGTCGACACGAAACCTTTCATAGCGCGACGTCCGCAACACGTCACAAACACATGTTTATGGATGTGGACCAACAAAGCAACACTTGCAAACCTGAAGACTATCCGACAAATCGCCGCACCAGAATACCAAGTCCCGTTCTGGCATTCCGAGTGGTGTCATTACCAGATTAGACACCTTCTCCGTTTCGCGCCGGGAACTCCTCCCCAGTGGCGCGACATCCAATCCGAACTGGTGTCTGATGAGTTCTGGCTTCCACCTGACAACTTACCACGACAACCCCAGTGGAAAAAATTCGTCCGGGACTTTTTTGGCAAGTTGAGACACGCGGTTGGGAGTCGAACCTTCAAGAATTACATGAGGGTCCCCCATCGCTCCGATAAGGATGAGGCAAAAGGCGCACGTGTGCTTTTCGATGTCGTCAAGCGACATCCAAGCCATTTCCACGGCGTACTCTTCCATTCACCTGATAAATGCGGCCATAATTTTACTGCTGCAGAGATATGCTAGATTTTGGGGCCGCATGTAGTGAACGGGAGTTGGTGATTTTACTGAGCCTCATTCTTCGATGGCCGACAGCGTATCGAGACACTTGCAGCACTGACATCACTCCAAGGAGTATTTCTCATATGCCTTATAGGCTGGATCTAGAGCCCAATGCTATAGCCCAATGTCAGAATTATCATGTTTGAGTCAAAGGCTTTGTTCTTAACCCATTTTGAATGGTGCTCGGGGTGATTGAGAACGATGCCTTAAACTAACTCCTGCTAAGAGTCTGTGGAACCATAAGACATGACATCCATCTCCCCTGCCTCACTACAATACGAAGTCACACCTACATCCAATAACATTAGTGGTCGATTTTCCAGGACGCTTCACTTAGCCGACACCTTGCTCGAGGCAAAATTAGACAAGCCCAGTACCTCGTGACTCTAGGTTTTGCTTTGATCCGGCCTTGGCAACCGGATTTAATCAGGAGTAATACGAATTTGTCGATGGGATCCGGCTCTTGGCTGCAACCTGGTAAGTTTATATACCCAGTTAAGGTTGAGCGGCATCTGTCAGATCCCAATCCAGAGCGTTCCCCCGCACTTTGTATATTAGGGGCTACGGCTCATACGACGCTGCTTCGCACTGCCGATAGGCTCCCCGCATGCTACTCACTTGCCTCACTTGAGCCTATTATAAGCTTAATGAAGCGCTCAGATGGAGCCAATGGGATAATCATGGCTCGTGTGAGACACTAATAGAACCAAGGAAGGCAGTTCCTCCAGAATGGTACGACTCACGCCCGGCAGGTCTGGCAGCTCAACATCTCCAGCTGGACTGTATCCGGAACTCCATGTTGTACCGTGTGACTACTCTCTTGAGACGAAGTAGTTTGTACAGCGCAACTCAAGGATGGAGGTTATAAAACGCCCATCTTTGCCAGTTCTCTGCCTTCTGTCTCCATGCCTGTATCCATCCCCTTTTCGGACATTTGCTTTCCTTCTCAGAGACTAAAAGATGCCTTCCATCAGAAGCTTCACATTGTACTGCTTGGGCCTTGCAGCGAATCTCACATCGGCATGGCCAACCCAGCACCCCGAACACGTCCAGATACTCACCCGAGCAGAGCAGCTCGCCACCGAATACGACTATGTGATTGTCGGCGGTGGCACATCTGGCCTGACAGTCAGTGATCGGCTCACAGAGGACGGCAAATGTGAGATCCCAGTATATCTTCTATCACACAAAGCATCGACCTAATGCAGATAAGACACCGTGCTCGTAGTCGAGTATGGCTACTACGACAGCCAGACTGGCATGAACCCACGCCGCATGTTCAATATCACGTCCAAGCCGTGTCCCAATCTCAACGGCCGAAGCTTCGATGTGGGTATTGGATGCGTCGTCGGTGGAAGCTCTTCCGTCAATGGTCAGGTATTCCTGAGAGGAACCAGAGATGAGTATAACGCTTGGAAAGAACTTGGTGGGCCTGGGTCTACCTGGGACTGGGATAATTTGCTGCCATACTTCAAAAAGGTTTGAGCTTTCAGACGAGATCATGTACGTATACGAGACTGAAGGATCCAGGGCATCACCCTCGCGCCTCCTGACGCAGCCCAAGCTCGAGAGTACAACATCACCTACGACACCAAGTACTGGGGTACAACCTCCAAGATCTACGCCGCCTTTGGCAAGGGCCCTCTTCAGTCTGTCCTCAGTAGGTTCTAGTCCACATGAACTCCTACCGTCACTCACAAACCACTAACCATAGTTCAAAGAGATCCTCTATAACGCTATGGCAAAAATGCCTGGTATGACCATCCCCGTTGATAGCGGCGCCGGTGAGGCCGGCCTCTACTGGTACCCAATGTCCCAAGATCCCGTCCAGTTCCAGCGTTCTTACGCTCGCACCGGTCACTGGGACAGCCTCAACCGCGCAAACTACGAGATGATCGTCGGTGCCAAGGTCAACCGCATCCTCTTTGACGGCGACACCGCCACGGGAGTGCAATTCGTCTCTCGCAATAACACGGGAGCTGCCCCTGTACAAATCAAAGCCCGTCGAGAAGTCATCCTCGCCGCCGGCTCCGTACACACGCCGCAGGTCCTCATGCTCAGCGGCATCGGGCCACGCGCACACCTCGAGCAGGCGCGCATCGCTGTCAAGGTCGACTTGCCCGGCGTCGGATCAAACTTTCAAGATCACAGCTATATCCCAAGCATCTCCTACCAATGGGGCATCCAGCCTCCCAACTCAGGCGGCGGCGGCTGGGGAGGCGGCGGTCCGCCCTCCCTCGCCTCCATGATCGGCCTTCCCGTCGTCAGCCCTGACAGATTCGACACTCTAGCCAAGGCATTTGAAGCTCAAGACCCCAAGTCCCACCTGCCCTCGTCCTACACAGCCGAGCAAATCGAGGGCTACAAGCAGCAGCAGAAAGTCTGGGGCAGGCTCATGCGCTCCAAGAACGTCGTTTTCTCCGAGATGATGATGTACGGCCCCGGCGGCTCCGTGCAGAACCTGCACTGCATGTCCCGCGGCAACATTCTCCTCAACACGGCGCAGCCCGAGAGCGAGATGGTCGTCGACTACCGCGCCGCGTCTAACGCCATTGACTTGGACGTAATGGCGGAGATTATCAAGTTTATGCGGCGGTACATGACTACCGGCGACCTTGCGCAGTACCAGGCGCGCGAGACATCGCCTGGTACGAGCGTGTCGTCTGATGCGCAGCTTGTGACCTGGGCCAAGGGGCAGATTATCCCGTCCGTATACCACCCTGTTGGCACCACGGCCAAGATGCCGCGCGAGTGGGGTGGAGTGCTGGATGAGAACTTACTGGTGTATGGTGTGAAGAAGTTGAGGGTTGTTGATGCTTCGATGATGCCTACAACCGTTGGTGCGACCACGTCCATGACTGTCTACGCTGTTGCTGAAAAAGTAAGTTCTGATGTTTTCATGTTCATGGAGTACTGCTAACAGGGATACAAGGCCGCCGATATGATCAAAACGCAGACTCAGTAGTTGTTGTTGGCCCGGTGTGGAACTTTTGAAGTGTTTGGTGGAGAGGTGTGGTTGCGTTTGGATCACACACTGCAATTATCTTACTACATTCGTGTAAGGGTTTTACATACCACACAGCCGGCTCTAACTCACTTTTCAGCCTATTTTCAGAGGAACGTATGATGCGCAGCCATTTAATTGAGTTGTTGTGTATTGACAATACTTCTGGTTCCATACAATGTAAAGCTTTTCTAGTAACTGACTGGTCCAGCCAAAGGCAAAGGAAGCATGAATGTAATGATGATTCGACGGGTGTCGCCATCTCAAGTCCTCACACAGTGACTTCTACTAAAGCTCCTCGGACACTTCTTTTGCTCTCGTCAGCTTACCGAATGATACATGACCGTTAGAAAACATACCTCCTTTGGCGCTGTCCTGGCTCCGCGACTCCTCCCACTCCTTCATCCAAGCCTTGACAAACTCGACCTCCTGGGCCTGAACGTTCGTGATAGAAGCAGGCGGGAAGTCCGGCGTGACCTCTTCCGGCTTCAAGCTGTTCTCGTCCCAGTGATGAACACCCAGATCGATGAGAAGGAAGGGCTCGCTGGTCGTCGATTTGCGGTTCAGGCCAATTTTGTGGGGTGTGGCAGCTCTCCAGGGATCGGCTTCGCCATCGACGATCGCCACGCGTGGGTAGCTAAAGTTGAAGCCGCCGTGCTTGTTGATGGCGTCCACGTTGGGGGGCTCAGTGATGTTGAAAGCTTCGCGGCAGTAGATGGAGCTGTAGTCGACGTTGATGAGGCGCGAGATGAGGGGAAGCTCGTCGTCGGGCACACCCGATCCGGTCTGGAAGTAACCCCATCTACGAGAGTTGTTAGCAGTTGATCGAATTCGCTGACTTGCAAACACTTACTCTGTGCAGACCTGATAGATCCAGCTGCGGCCAGGACCTTGACGAATAGAGGTATTTTGGTGTTCTTCACTGTTGCGGCCCGAGAAGCACTTAACCAAGTCTCCACTCTTGCAACCCTTCTTAACGTAGTCCTTCACATAACCGACGTAGTTGAGCATGCGATTCGTCAACTTGGCGTCTGAGCCACTGGCGGAGAGCAACTCGTCCACCGACGACTTCAAGTGGCGGGTGCTGCCAAAGAGAACACTGTCTGAGCTGACAGTGGCGCAGTACGTTCCAAAAGCAGTGGTATCCTGGGCAGGGTCCCAGTTGGTCGACTGCAGTCCCGAAATACCGTACGACAAGGTGCTAGCGAAATCATCATCTTTAAGAGGGCCCAGGCCGAAGAGATCCTTGAGCTGGCTCTTGTCAGAATCAGACTTTCCAAGCAAGATCTTGTCGACAACCTCGGTAAGCTTCTGGGTGGTCTCGGCGCAGTCACCTGGCGAAAAGAGCCTGGCACCTTCGTAGTACTCCCAGTAATCGATGATAGCTGCCGTGACACCCGACGAGGAGATGCCACCCCAGAAGACCTCGGGATACAGTTTTCTGAGGAACGCGGCAAAGGCTCCAGCGTACGAGCCTCCATAAGCAAGGTAGGGCGTTCCAGGGGCAGTAAGGTTCAGGTCCTCGTGACCAGGGAAGCTGATGTGCTTCGCAAAGTAGGCCGTATCGGCGAGGGCCTGGTCGGTGCTCAAGAAGCGGAGGTTCTTGGTGCTGAGATCGGGCACAGGGAAACTCTTGCCATAGTAGCGATGTTCAAGAACGACACCGACGCCACCGGTGGCCTTGGCAAGAATGGAAAGGATGCCGTGGTCGAGGAACGGCAGACGCTCCTTGGCGTCCGTCTCTCCGGCCGCGAGGATGATCACAGGGCCTCCCTTGCGGTAGTGCTTCGCATCGAACCAGTACCGAAGATCGAAATACTCGTCCGAGTGCGGCTCGTACCGCGAGTCGTTGTGGAAGTGGTCAATAGGAACGGAGAGGTTGTACTCTGGGTACTGCTCCGCAAAAGCAGCCGAGGCAATGTCCACCTGAGACTCTGACTCCGCCCGGGCAGCCGATTGCAGCGCGTTCCAAGCCTCGTGGCCCGCAAGATGTTGCAGACCAAGTCCGGCAGCAACAGCCCGGCCCGCGGCCAGCATAAAGCAAGCTCCGGACTTCCAATTCGTCATGTCGCCGGCGTGTGATGGGGAAACCAATGATGTCCGTCCCGCAGTTGGAGGCGGCGCCGAGTGTTGTTGTGACTAAAGTTGTGGAACCCGGCGTGAGTGGTGCGGGGTCGTTTGTGTGCGAGTATCGCGCCCGGGCCCCATCGGCACTGGGGCTTACCTTATCAGCTGTTCACCGAATCTCATCTCATCTCACTCTTGACAATCATTCATCTTGAGAGACCACATTGAATGGGTCCACTTGAACATATTTTTTCATCTTCTTGAAATGTACAAACCCACTATTGGATGAGAGTACATGTAGTATGTAGAAGGGTGAGCATCATTACTGCAGGACTCATGCCGGACTGAATACGATTGCCCGTCTTTGACGAAGAGGACTCTGAGAGAGAGAGAGAGAGAGAGAGAGAGAGACTGTATGAACTCTTTTGACCAAATTCACAGCCTAACAGGCTAACATGCCAAAAGCTTGCTTGAACCCCAATTTAGTCTGCCGTTTGAGTCACTGGCCGCAGACCCGGCGTATTACGCCCCACCGGTAAGCTGTCAGCCCATGAGGGCTTCAATCGAGCCAGCAATGCTGCAGTCCGATGAAGGTACCTACGGAGCTGTCTACCAAAACAGCTTGAACGGGAGTAGATGGACAGATGGTTATTTTCATTCATGTCCAATGAGAACGCAACGCTCTCGGTATGAGGTTTGCGTCCTTGTGGGCCACCCTGAGGTGCCAAGAGCGAAGGTTTGAATTTGGTCCATCGGGACTGGGTGATGGAGGCTTATATGAGCCAGCGATGTTCAGAGGGCATCTTCCGTATAAAACATATTCGTTATGTTCTTGATGGCGACAAAAATTGTTGAAGCTAGACCCAAGAGACCTCGTCCTCATATCCGAAAATGGCAGCTCTCGACCTTTCAACGATGGTCAAAAAGACGCTTGACGTCTCTCGCGGCTTCACCTACACCTACTACACCTCGCCCGCTCGTGACTCAAAACCCACTCTCCTCCTCTTCCACGGCTGGCCTGACACAGCGCGTCTCTGGGCTGGTCTCACCAACAACCACCTCATCCCGAATGGCTACGGCGTCGTGGCGCTAGATAACCTCGGCTTCGGTGATACATCGAGGCCCACCGACCCAGAAGACTACGCATGGCACCGTCTTGCGGCCGACGCTGTCGAGATTCTCGACAGAGAGCGCTTAACGAAAGTCATCTCCCTCGGCCACGACTGGGGTTGCCTCATCGCCCAGCGGCTATACAACTTTCACCCCGATCGCATCTGCGGCCTTGTCATGTTGAACGTCCCCTACATGCCGCCCACTGGCAACTTCGACCTCGAAGCAGTCAACCAAGTGACGAGAAAGATATTCGGCGTCGGCATCTTTGAGTACTGGCATTTTTTCCTCGCCGAGGACTCGGTAGACCTCATGAATCAGAACCTTGAGTCTGTGTATAGCGTTACGTTCGGCGACCCGCAAACCTGGCTTGAGAACTGGTGTACAACCGGCAAGATGCGCGAGTTCATCACCGGAGGCCGTACGCAGCCGACGCTACCGTTCGCCACACCGGGACATAGAGCAGACTTTATGGAGCGATACGGCAGAGACGGGTTTGCTGCGCCAAGATGTGTCTACACTGTGACGGGCTCCGGGATCCAGGACAAGTCAGAGAGGATGCTCAGCGGAGAGGTGAAGACGGTTCGGGTGCCAGTGCTCTATTGGGGCGGGGAGCAAGACTATGTGTGCAGGCCTGAATTACTTCAGCAGAGCATCGCTGCTGGCGTGCTGCCGGATGTTAAGAAGATTACGAGGGAAGGCGGACATTGGGCTTTTCTTGAGAAGCCGGCTGTATTTGGACAAGATGTGTTGGGATGGTTGCACCAAAGTTTTGACTCTTGAGTTTGGAAGGCAAAACAGGGATAACCCCGCTGATGGTGAGACGCAAAGTTGAGCAACTCGCAAAGCAATTGTGAAAGCGAACCACAACCACGTCAAAAAGAAAGCAAAAGACTGGTCACCACAAGCTATGATGATGCTGTTTCTGGACGATCAGGGGATTGAACCCTGGGCCTCCCGCAGACACTAGGTGAATGCAAAGCGGGCGCTCTACCACTGAGCTAAACGCCCTGTACTGGGTGCGACATTTGATGCCGCTGTGGGATGCTCACGATGCTCGCAAGCGGGTTTGAGAACCCCGCCGAACACAGCCGCATGCATGCGGGCGGAGACACAAGCCATGGTATTAGTAAGAGAGTGAGACAGGAGACACAGAGAGCATTCACCGATTTGACTTGAACCCTGACCAGTCCCTCTGAAATCACTTAGATAATTAGAAGCATAGCCAGACAATAGAAACGGCTGTGTGCTGTAAGGAGATACTTCGTTACAAGAGTGATCGTGCCTCCCCTTGAGGCCTGCAATTGTGAATCTTGTTGAAATAGTCTCTTCTACCAGTCCACAGCAATCACCCCGAAACTGCAAACTATAGTCTTTCTTTAACTCGTATCTAAACACTAACGAGAGGACAAGAGTCTTTTAATTACTGGGAAAGCATCTGAAGTCAGCTCACAACTAATTGACAAGTCGAATTGACTTTGGGGGGTGGGGCCAACCCCGCTCTAACGACAAGACTATGGTACTTGATTCTGCGAACCCTCTCAAATCTCAACACCGAGCGGAGCTTGAGCTCCGATACTCCCCTTGGTGTAGTTGGTTCATCACGTTCGACTGTAATGGTTACATTGTCATCGAAAGGTCTCTAGTTCGATTCTGGAAGGGGAGAACTACTCTTTTGCCATTTTTGGTTGAGGTGTCTTTACAATGGTTGGGTTGAAGATGTGCGTTAAATTTGCTTTTCAAATGTCCATGTAACGTAAATCAACGTGGCACGGTGCTGTGCTTGTCTTAAGGGCAAGTAGGCGGTACTTCCTAAGCATTGCGGCTTCCCTCACATGTGCCTTCACGATCTCCCAATACCACCATCAACGTCCACCCCCTCGCTCCTCGCCTTCTTTATAGCATCTCTCGCCTCCTGCTGCTCCTTCTTCTTCCTTTTTCACTATGTTAATAATTTGTAATTTCGCTTACTGTTTCAACCATTCATGGCTCTAAAGAGGGGATACTCACTCCTCAATCCCACTCCCAAACTCCTCATTAACAACCTCCTGCCCCGGCACCTTTTGCGTACCACTCTTCCTCTCCACCGCATCAGCAACCTTGCCCTCCGCAAGGGTCGCCATCTGCTCAGCCTCGACGTTGGGGTTCTCCAACTCTCTGCTGCCGCCGCCCTCAGACACGTACGCGGTATTTCGCCGCTCCGTCTCGTCCACGGGGCCGGAGGAGTGTACGCCTGCGCCCAGCGAGCTCGGCGTCGCGTCGTCGACGGAGCGGGACTGGGACTGCGGGAAGGGCGTGCGGCCTAGCGCTGCGTCGCGCGCGGCGGTCTCGCGGTCGGAGGCGTCGTGAGCTGCTGCGTTTTCGGCGGGGTTGCGGGTTGTTGGGTTCGAGGCTGTCTTGTAGGCTTCTGATGTTGGGGGTTGGGGTGGTGCTGAGGATGACATTTTGGCTTCGGTCTGAGGTGAGCTGACTCTTCGGGCAAGGTAAGATGCAGAATACTAGACGTGCAATGGGTGTCTGAAGAAAGCTGAGATTTACGATTGTAGTTCTTCACAGTGAGGTTCCACGTCGCAAAGTACTGGGTAGTCTTTCGCAGAAATCTCCAAAGCTCTAGAGCAATGACATCGGTGACAGGTCGATGACGTCGGCGGGCAGTCGTGGATCGACGCTTAGTCTATCCCCATCTCCGTCATCGTAAATCGTAAACCCGCCTTCAGTGATTGGCTTGTCATCAGTTATTGTCATAAAAGGGAACGGTTTCCTTTATGATAAGGCTGCTATTGTCGTTGAATCAATAGACGTCGGCTGCTGCCGTGCCTGCCCACCCTGAAATGATTGAAATCTCCGGCTATGAGGAACGGTGCCCACGTCTAAGACCGGAGCCGATGTAAGACAACACCGGGCGCTCCATCAGCCTCTCTAAGATGTTGTGCTTGCGCTACTCTATTGCAAGTTATCAACTCAGCTCGATCAAGATGTAGTTGCGCAACTAGTGTCATATTCGATAGGGTACCTGGTTGGCAATGATTTCAATGTCATTTGCAATGTGACTATAGTCCTCCCTCTATCATCCCCTTGTTGTCTAAAGCCTGCTCTACTCAAGCTCAACCCTTTCTCTCTCGCCTGACATATTCCAAATGAGGCTCCCATAAGATCGCGCATGGCACATTATCTTTGGCACAAGCTTTACCTGAAGGCCCCATTGAACCAAAGCCTCGCGATCAATACCACAACAGCTCCAATCTGCTTAGCCACAGACAATGCAACCTCCAACTCATCCCATCTCCACAAACCATCTCGCTCCAAGTGCAAACGCCGCCCAAATCCTATTGGTCTACCCCGCCCATCGACACCGAAGCCAAGACAGAAAGCTACCTCAAACGGTATAGAGAAATGGGTACACCGGACGAGGGGAGGCCAAAACACGGCTCCGATTCGGCCTCGTCATGTGCCGCCGAGCTCCGGCGACCCGTCATTTGCCCGTTTCTACCGGTGGTCGTCCCGTCTTTTGCTCTCGAATCCTATTGATCCCCGCTTTCATACCGTCAACCCAATTAAAGAATCCGAGTTGCATATGGTGTGATGTCGCGCAAACTTTCGCCTTTTTCACGGCCCGCGTGGTGGTGGTGTGGTGATTAAAGTCGGAAGGGCGTATAAGACATGCACAAGACCCCTCTTCAACCCCGCGACCAAGAGTGTCAAAGATCGAAGTGTCTAAGACGTAGTAAACAAGCTTCCTTCTTTGAACTGTCGTATTCAGCATCAGACGATATTCCGAAATGGCACCATCCGCGACAGAGACAGCCGCCAAGCAGGTCGATGACCTCAAGATGAAAGACCTGCCATTGAAAGAACAAGCAAAGGAGGCAGTATACGCAGACGACTTTCCGCCCCTGGATGAGGAGCTCCCAGAAGTACGGACAGGCCATAAGGAACCCCTCAAGCCTACAGGGGTTCTCGACCAGTTTGAGCATTTCGACGTGACACCCGTCATCGGCCGCGAGTACCCGACTCTCGATCTCAAGGAGCTGCTGCGTGCGCCCAACTCTGATGAGCTCCTTCGTGACCTGGCAATTACTAGTGAGCAATGCCTCCACCAAGATACCCATCTCCTATATTGAAGCATGTACCAGTCTCGCAGCGTGGTGTCGCGTTCTTCCGCAAGCAGGACAACATCGACAACGACCTCCAAAAGGAACTCGTCCAGCGCCTCGGCGAGTTATCCGGAAAGCCCTCGACTTCGAAGCTACATATTCATCCCGTCAATAATTCCGGCCGCGGCGACACCAAGGACGATGAGATCAGCGTCATCTCGTCGGCGCAGGCCAAGAGGCTAGGCATACACCGCTTCCTAAACTACACCAAGAAGCAGACGCAGAGGTCGCAGTGGCATTCTGATATCACGTTTGAGCCCGTGCCGAGCGACTACGCCCTCCTCCGAATGACACAGCTGCCAAAGACGGGAGGAGGTGAGCACTCTTCGAGCCGTAGCCGCCGGTCTTGTTGTACACTTGTACTGACAAAACGTAGACACGCTCTGGGCCTCGGGCTATGAAGTGTATGACCGGATATCGAAGCCTCTCCAAAAGTTCTTCGATGGCATGACGGCCACGTACGCCCAGCCAGGCTTCAACGCAACCGCAGAGAAGAATGGCTTCAAACTCTACTCGGAGGCGCGCGGCGCGCCTGAAAATGTGGGCGAGCTCCTGGAAGCCATCCACCCGGTGATCCGCACCAATCCGGTGACGGGCTGGAAGAGCGTCTTCGCCGTCGGCCTCCACGTCCAAAAGATCAACGGCCTGTCGGACGAGGAGTCGAAGCACTTCCTCGACTGGTTCGTGCAGCTCATCATCGAGAACCACGACCTGCAGGTGCGGCACCGCTGGCAGAACCCCAACGACGTCGCCATCTGGGACAACCGCTCGGCCTACCACGCCGCGACGCCGGATTACATCGTGGACGACCTCGGGGAGAGACAAGGGTCTCGTGCCGTGAGTCTCGGGGAGAGGCCGTACTTTGACCCTCAAAGTCAAAGCAGACGGGAGGCCCTGCGTGCCGAAGCTATTGCCGCTTTGAAGGCGGATTACAGCTCATGAAGGCTGTTTGTTTCCGGAACCAAACGACTTGTTTCTCTGGTTGGTCGTGCTCTTGAGCTTTGGTATGAGGACTAGACGACGATGGACTCATTCTCCTACTCGGGAGCAGATTACCGTAGCAGTCAAAACAATGATTCCCCCCAGAGATGAGGAAGAAGCGGTTTCACTCTGCCCTATCGTGGCTCGGGAGTTGCTCCCGACGATCTTTCAGCTGTGCCTGTATCAAGTAGACTTTATCCCCACTTAGGGGTTGTGGCATAGATCAGACGAGGTCGCCAGCAGTGGCCCAGCACGAGACTTCTGATACTGGACCCTCCCATCGGTTCTCTTTAGAGTTCAGAGCCAATCTCATGACCGTCGCATCTGCCGGTCAGACATGGCACGGGTGTAGCACCCAGACCCTGAGAATGGTCGGCCAGATGATCTTCCTTCTCCTCTCCTTCTCTGCATAGAAGGACCTGTTTCCTGTCGACTAGTCAGTCGGCAAAGGCCCCGATGCATAGGCGCTACTGACTGTCGCAGCCGTCCTCGTCCCTCTACCCTCCGAGCTCAACTCGGCCGGCTGGCTATGCATCGAATCATTTTGCCGTTCGGCAACGCGTGGATCATACGCAGACCTTGAGTCGAGTGGTTCAGACGGGCGATCCAGACTTCTTGCGACGTGGGCTTGACGCCAGACGCGCGCGTTTCAACGGGGCCTCTGAGGGTCTCTAGTTAGCTCCTCGAGTCATCGCTATGGGCATTCTTGTTTGTCGTGAGCTGCAAGATGCCGTTTTGGTATTGATCCGGCGGCCATATTGAAGTTTTGAGAGGTACTATACGAGGTGGTATTGGCGCCTTGACGTGAGGTTTTGTTCTGCTCGGGTCGTTTTCTCGTTTCTGCACCATTGTGGAATAGGAAGAGGTCAAAGTCCAAGTCACGTCGAAGCCCGGCACTTTCTACAGAGGGCGATTTGTTCTTGTAACAGTCGTCAAATTGGAGGAAGGCGTCGGCCAGCAGTGAGCGAATCGATGGTTGGTATAGCCATTCAGAGGCTGTCCGGGATGTCAAAGAAGAGTGGCTGAATGGGCTTGTCTCCTCCTCCACAGCCACGGTTGCTAGGCGGCAGCACCCCCGTGACCGCAACCAGCAGCACGTAAGCGGTTCATCAATTTCCTGCGGCTGGCGTGTGAGAGATGGTTTGGGACAGATGAGCACCGATCCCCTGGTGGTCCCTCCGTGGACCAGCATTAGTCGGCAGCACCGACATGGGTGAGGGTTGTGAGTCGTGACTGTTCAGTAGTCTGTCACTAACAGCATTCAATGGCAACGAACCATGAGTGAGTTTTACCGAGCAGAAAGCCGCGAGAGTTTTGGAGGAAATGTTCTAGACGCCTTGGATGGCACCATATCCGGACGCTCACGCACTCCATTAACTGCATTAGTCTACATGATAGAGAATTAAGCTCGCAGAGACGCGTCGATGAGACGGCGTTGTCTGTGTGAATGTCGCAATGGCAGGACTCAGCCAAGCGTAGCGGCAACTGTAAATCGTGCAGCTAGCAGCAATAAGGTAAGCCAAGGTGTGAAGCAGAATACGAGGCGGAAAGTTTCAGTGGGCAATCTTCATGTCGCTTGTGTCGTGAGTTACTCTATTCGGAAGCTTATTGAGATGTGGAAATGAGGACCGAAATGGGAAAGAATGGAAGATGGAAATTGAAGAGGCAAACTGAGGGAGAAGAAAGAAATGAAGATTTGAACATTAGTTAGCAACTGTGACTCTTGAGAGTGACCATCTGCTCTTAGGTACGTGCAGTGCTTACCAAATCACCCACTGAGCTGAGGCCATCGCCGTGTTATTTTTGGCCGGCGGGTTGCTGCAATCCTCCCGAGCCGACCTGCAGTCTGCAGATTCACTCACCAAGTCAGTGAGTGAGCACCTCGCCCGGAGCCTCGTCCGCGTCAGTCGCTTAGCTTCAGGGGCATCGCAGCCAGATGCGTGCCGAGACAGCCCAAAGAAGGGGGGGAGACCCCTGGACGCACAGTGTCTCGTCTGTCGCTTGTCTTCTCTTCAGGTAAATTCGGCAGTGTCTCACCTCTGGTTGGCAAGGTCCTCCCTCACCTTTCACCTTGAACTCACTCACTTATTGGGTCTCCCCTCACTCAAGCACTGGTAACTCACTCGCTCGCTC